TCTTTTCCTCTTTCTGTAGCCTATGCATTTCTCGCTGCTCTGTCTATACACTGATGTAATCATGTCCCATCTGTTGTTAAGGAGCTAATCCTGTTCTCCCTCCATCGGCTCCCCGTGGTTTTCAAGAGCTAGAAATCTATTCCTCAACTGAAAGGTAAATTCTGTTCTTAAACCTGCATCCTTTAGTCTATCTACGTCAAAACGTCTATGACCTTTGGGCTGTGGACCAGTGCTTCTAAGCTTGAGCTTGATAGAGGCTGCCACCAGGTGATGGTCGTTACCAACATCAGCTCCTCTCATTACCTTGACGTCCATTAGTGAACGTCGCCACATCCCGCTAATCATTAAATGGTCTATTTGATTCTTATCTCGTCCATTTGGGGAGCACCATGTCAGCTTGTGGATCAGTCGATGCGGAAACAAGGTCCCTCCAATGACCAGGTCATTCATGTTGCTGAAATCCACCAGCCTCTCTCCGTTGTTGTTCATGCTACCACATCCATGTTTCCCCCTAGCCCTGTCATCCTCTGTACCCTCATTCCCCACCTTCGCATTTAGATCACCCATCACGACTATAAGATCGTGCTTAGCTGTCTTTTCCATTTCTGCCTGAAGACTAAGGTAGAAGTTGTCTTGGTATCGTTCGTCGGGGCATAGCACTGGATTATAGTGATGTTGATGTGCCTCCCTTTCAGTCTAGCTCTTATCAGACGACTGCTGACAGGCTTCCATTCTAGCAATGATCGCTCTACTACTTTTTCCAGGATCAATGCCACTCTTTCTGCGTGTTGACCGTCATCTCTACCTGAGTATAGAAGTGTCTCACCCGTTAATGTCGTCTGTCTACCTGTTCCTGTCCATCTGTATTCACTCACACCCATGATATGTAGGTTGTAGCGTCTCATCTCCGATGTTACCTGTGCAAGCTTACATGCTTCGTACATAGTACGGAGATTCCAAAAACCAAGGTTGGTTCTTGATTTTGTGTTCAGAACTTCCATTGTCGTGCCAGTAGCCCCCTTTCGGCTTTCACTACTGTCAGTCATACGAGTCGTTGCCCATGGAAGATTTTTTACACAGCGTTGTGTTAGATTTCGTCGTTGCTGTTTCCGTAACGTTATTGTTTTTTTAAGACTGGGTTGTTAGCCCTGTGCTCAACCCCCAACCTGGAGGGCTAGGGTATTTCTGTTAGGGTTGTCCTTCCCTTAGCCACGGTTTTCCAGTTTTTTTAAGGCGCTAGAGGCTCGCCTTTCACCACTGTCACTCGGATACTTAGTATTGCTACTAAGCATTTCCAGGGCCACCAGAAAAGTGGAGGTGCGACATGTGACTTGCTGACAGAAACTGTTTGAGACGGTAAGCTTTCCCAGCATTTACAAGAGGCACCGTAGTGACATTAGCATCTCTTGCCGGGAGCTATATCAGCATTTGACCCCGGCTATCTTTTAGTGCTGTATTAAATGTGTATTACTGTTATATGTAGGAATAGAAACTGTATTTTATTGCTGACATTAGTATCAATGTAGCTTAAATTCAGGAATTTTGTTTTTCATATAATGTAATGTTATTTTTCTTTTTCATATAATATAAAAATTAATATTTAATGATTATTTTCTATTACTTAGTTCTGTGTTAAATGTGTATTACAGTTATATGTAGGAAATAAAAACTTTGTATCCATTTTATTATTGACTTTAGTATCATATCTACAAAATGAGTTGACATTCTTAGTTGAAACAGGCTATAACTAAACTTCAAAGGATTTCCTATATAAACACCTTCCTTTCAATTCTCCAGAGTTGGTGTTCGGGGAATGAGCCCATATGAGATATGCATGGACCGTTGCAAAAACTACAAACATGCTCATTACCTCTAGTGCATTCAGCATTACAACATTTGAAATATGTGAAAAGAGCGATAAGCTTAAAAGCAGAAAATATATTTTATAATTTAAATTCGTTTTTGCCTTTATTTGAAGCGTCCTTGATACAATGTTTCGAAGTACAGAACACAGGTTTGCATACACGGCGAACCTGCCCGACAATCGGGTAGGTGAGCACGACGCTCTATTTGAATTAGTGTTTTACATCAGTGTTAGGCCGGATCAGCTGGTTCTGGGAAAGAAAGCAATATCAACTGAATGTCACAGCTTATTATATATATAACGTTAACTATTAAAAGCTTTATATGCTTCGTCCTTTCGATCGCCGGCTAATTTGATGCTGTGAATTCTTGCAAAACAGCGTGTTATCCAAAACAGGATGCGTAGGCAATTTTAAATTCATCCATCCGCGGTTTTACAACCTTTCTATGGCATTTATATTGATGGTATGCTAAATTTAGCACTTGATTTAACTATAAGCCTGTCAGCTGCCGGTCTTTCTACCGGGCAGTCGACCTTACTCAACAAGTCGAACAAGCCCCTGATCCGATGAGAAAGTACCATGTAGGTCCTGTTGATATTGGGGTCTGGAGCGTTTGATTCACTAGATACTATTGTAAAGTCTTAATACGTCGTGTGGAGATACTCGTGAACATGATGTTTTTAGCTTATTCGCTTTATTTTATATTGCAGTTTTTTATGTTCTTTTTCGTATCTTTAACATCCCACAAACAAACAAAAAAGAATATAAAAGCAAATTTATAAAATCAGGATAAAGAATTTAAAACTTTAATTGTTTTTAAAGAATATAATATTTAACAAGTTTACATTAAAAAAAAAAGAACCTTAAACACCACAATAATAACACGCGTCATATTTAAAATGATGTAACAGCTTTTGAATGTCCACAAAACTGTTTGACTGATAACGTTCTCTTGTCTCAACGACAGATGCAGACTGTGTGCACAAATGAAGGAGCTTATTGTTTATAGTCACTTATAACGGGTTATTCATATACTGTAAATACCTTTATTTCGCGGAGGTTTAAATTTCGCTTTATTCACATTTAACTTTCATTGCGCCAATTCAAAACCCAAGCGAAAATATTGATTGTAGGTCTGTCATTTGTTACTATCAATATGATAAACGTACGAATACCAATGTACTCGTTCTTCATATCGTAAATATAAAATAGACATGATTTTGTTTTCTTTATATCTAATTCATACATAAAATACACATGATTTTGTGTTCATCATATCTAATTCATACATAAAATACACATGATTTTGTTTTCTTCATATCTAATTCATACATAAAATACACAATATTTTGTTTTCTTCATATCTAATTCATACATAAAATACACATGATTTTGTGTTCATCATATCTAATTCATACATAAAATACACATGATTTTGTGTTCATCATATCTAATTCATACATAAAATACACATGATTTTGTTTTCTTCATATCTAATTCATACATAAAATATCCAATATTTTGTGTTCATCATATCTAATTCATACATAAAATACACATGATTTTGTTTTCCTCATATCTAATCCATACATAAAATACACATGATTGTGTTTTCTTCATATCTAATTCAAACATAAAATGCACATGATTTTGTTTTCTATATTGAATTCCCACATTTTCTTTTACTTCACTTTTAATGATTTTTTTTTTTTGACTTCGGTCATTTACAAAAATTGCATTTTTAATTGCATCATTAGCAGCAGTTGGTATCTGTTTTGCACCATCACTCTCGATGTTTCTAGGATTAGTAAGAATGGGTGATGACGTTGTCTCATCATCAAGCCTTGCATTTTTCAACCAACCGTCAAACGACAGTTTTTTTTATTTATGAATAAACGAATACCAACTCTGAAATCCTTGGATATTGTCTTTATTGAATGGTGTTCACGCGTATACTTGCCTTCATTCAATATGCGTGAACCGTTACATGAATAGTTTTACCTGTGCTCAAAGGCACCTGATACTAATACGTACAAACTATAAGTAGAAACGCGAAAGTTGGACACAGGGAAATTAAAGCAATTTTCTGTAAATACTGTATAGTTGTTTTTAATTTCGCGGGGCTTGCATATCGTTGTTTTTCTGATCACATTTATTTCGCGGGGCTTAAATTTCGTGCAGCATTGCCAGATGGGTATAATATCGCGCCCACGAGAGTACTTACGTATTTGGTTGATGAAATACCTTTTACGAACGTTTTGTGTCAATAAAGTAAAGTTACGATATTGATTTGTTGTTCTGGTTCTGGTCTGTACACAGCAATGTTCTTTCGGATATCACGTTGATCTGATCTCCAAAATTTGCCAGTAAATAGGTACACATATCCACAGATATTACAATCCATGATATTAATATTCGATGAGTATTAAATTTCGCGCTATCCTTATTGACCGCAAAGCTAAATCCTTCAGGAATATAATCGAAATATACAGTATGATAACCTGGATACGATATAATAACACTCCATCTGTCAAATGGTTCCGACAGTAAATTACTCAAAGATGGCTTGGGAGGGACACCAACGAACGGAAATTTTGTGATGAGTAGAAGAGGAAAATGACAGAATTTGACACTCTTAACAATAATATATAACCTTGGATGTGTTAAAAGTCAGCACAGTGTGTCATGAAGTGGTGGTTAGTAAACGGAAGGTCACAGACTTCGTAGATGCTCGTTAAGTGCGAATGCAAAGGTGACGTGCCACTATGGTAACAGCTTACACGGAGACCTGCTGTCAGCAAGTCAAACGATCAATACATGTAACAACTCCTTGATAACAATAAAGACACGGTCGTTTTCATTTAAAATAATGTTTTGATCGTGTCAATACACATATTCCTTTGAAAGATGTCATAACAATGCATTCCTGCACCTGTGCCTTGCCTCTAAAATCAAGACAGAAACGATTTGAAAAGGGTCTTATCTGGGATTAATTTCCACTTTGATATACGTATGTGCTACTTCACACAAAGCTAAATAACCGAAAAAACGGCTTTTCATTATTTACGCAGAACCTTATGTCATGTCTTCATCACGACAGGTGCGTCATGTGCCCCTATAAATTCCGTTCAATCAATTTCTGTTCACATTCGATAACATCATTCGAGTATGTTGGGGATGAGGGATCTTACGGTTTTTGCGCTGGTCTTAGTGGCGTGCTGTGGTAAGTGTTTCATTCTATTCATTTTTATGACTACTTTAATAGAAAACTATCCCCATTCTCCGAATTCATACAAAATTCCACGTCCTTAAAACAAAAACTTTGGGATCGAACAAACTTTTCTCACTTGCTGAGGTCTTGCCACTGGATCGAAAACTGCAAATAAATGAAATGGTATGAAAGTCAAGCAATTAAAAGAAAATGAACAGACACAGACCATCTGAGAATCAGCAAGAACGAAAATTATAAAGGATAACCATTTGTTTTAATATAAAACTTGATACATTTTTTCTGTAATACTAAATTCCATTCTTTTGTTTTTTACAGCGGCGGATGATGACGATAATGGAAGTAGAGACAAGAGAAGTACAATAATAATTTCACTTGCTTTAAAATATACGTGTATTTGCATAACTATTTCATTTTTAAAACTGGCCACATGCAAATGCTGCGTTACTCAATAGAGTGTGACTCTTGCAAATCCTGACACGAGTATTTGATGTTCTCTGGTTAAGTTAGGGTTTACATACTGTTCCATTTGTTTTACTATTATACTTTTACTTTTATATCCTTAATTATTCCTAAAATCAATATATGACCTTACTTTAATAAAAAAAATCTAAACATTTAGGCTTTCAACCTGTTTCAAATAATTGTCTTGATTCTGCGTACTGGGTTTTTTTTTAACAGAAAACATTCTTATCTTTATTTTTGACCAGGCTTCTTTTTCGGCGGATGCCGTCAGCGGTGTGGAGATCTGGCTCATTGTGACACACGTACTAGGCGTTGTGTGTGCAACAGTGGCTGCACCGGAAGTCCCCTGTCTGGTTGCCGTGAGTTTCTTTTCAGTAATTCTTTTAGGGATCCCTTTCTCACTGCAGGACACCACAAGGGAAGTCCACTGTATTTTTTTCGTACATAGAGTAACCTTCTTTGATTTTATTTTGGATAGAAATGTAGAGCGATTGGGTTTAGTGTTAACATTACCCTTGTAGTTTAGTTGGTTAGCGCGAGCGGCACAATATGCTGATAAGATTCGAATCCTGGTCTGGTATTTTCACTCAGAACAATGTTCTTTTTTCTCACATTTTGCTTTCTTTTCATTAAATAATTCTGTAAAGTATGGCTCTTCTTTTCAAAAATGATTTTAAAAGGCTGTAATCATATCAGCAAAAAATTAAAGCATAGCTACAATATTTGGCAATGGTATAGAGAAACTCAATAGCAGTGACGGCGTCCCGAAGACATCTGCACTTTGTTTTCTTTAGTCAATTTTTCTTTTGTCACATATCTATTTTTACACTGATATTCCATACTTTCACCAAGGGTACGTTGTAGCTCAGAAATAACAATATCTCCACAATGTCTAGTTTTAGACCTTGTTTGAGAGTCCAAAAACAGTTGGCCCCGACGTCAGGAATCGAACGTGCGCCTACAAACACACCGAACTAAAAGTAAATGTTGTCAAACGGTCTTGGTCGCACTCCCGACCCTTTTAGTTAATTTAGTAACAATGTTCACGACATGTTGTTCTCATCCCGTTTAGAACAAGGAAATGACTTTTGATTCTTGACATTGTTATCAGTAATTTGTCAGTTTTCTCATTATATCTTAATCTATACATCTGTTACAATTATATTCAATATTTGTATGTTAAAGCATCTCATTTTTGCATAGTGTTTTATAAATCTGCAATCTCTTACAGGTTCAGTGAACGGATGTACTTATGATATTTTAAACTCTATACATGCTCTACTATCTTGCTCACTTATGGTAATTTTGCAGGTTACAACGTCGTGCATCACTGCGGAATAATGGCCCACTGGGACACATTGCGCAGGACTTGCATCTGTAATACGGGCTGTGGGGGAAACCCTTGGGAGTCATGCCGTAAGTTGAACATTAAAATCCGAACAAAGCAAAGTAAATGCGAGTTATCGAAGACATTGTCACATATAGGGGTAAGTTTGTTCAACAATGTACGCTATTTAAATGATGTCACATTCAAGCCGAATTTCTATTCCGCTAATAGGGCTGTTTACTTCACGTTTCAGTCAGCATTGTTTTCACTTGATTTAAATGTTTAACTTTCAAAAGCGGTCATTTTTATTTCAAAGTGTCCTTATCATACTTTATCATTAATCATCGGTGCCGAATATAAGACAAAACTGATGTATTATATCATTTAAATTCTAACACATTTTGCTTGGGTTATAAAAATATTATGCAGAAAAATTAAATTTAAACGGACTTGAACTGCTTCTAAGGCATAGAGAAACTTACAAACCCGATAGTACACCCGTATGGTGCTCTCTTTTCCGAAGCTTTTAAATGCCAACATTTCGCACAAGGCAAGTCAAAATATTATGCGAAAGTTCAACGTTTCGGATTGTTGTTTTCGGTTTTATTACAATTTTATCGTTTTCACCCGCAAATCTGCGCTTCACTGTGCAAATGCCTTAAAATTGAAACCTTCTTTTAAAACATTTATTTTTATATATATGAATACAGATGTAGGTACATCCGAGATAAAAAGCGATTACAATCATTATTACATGTATTTAAAATTTGGTACTGCGCGTTACCGGAAATGACTGCACCTGATATCGGAATTTGGCTTCTGAGTGAATATCTTTACGAAGAAGTGCGAGACCAGAATAACTCTAAAATGAAACCATTTACAGTAACGTCAAGCAGTAGAATCTATATTTTTTTCTCATTTCTAATCCCTGAATCGAAAAACGAGCAGTATTAACATGATAAAGGATTATGACCCTGTATTCACTTTCTTGCGTGATGATGTAATATATATTGATTGAATATGGTACGGTTATCTAAATAATATATATTGGACTATTAACTCTGATAAATTGACGAATACGTTAAGTGCAATGTAGGACGATTGATAGATATACAAATGCATTACGGTGACATGTCTCAAAACTTCTCTCATAGATACATGTATCGTGAAATATTTCATTAAGTCTAGTAATTATCCTAATTTATTATTCTTGTACCATGTTAATTTTCTTCAGATTTAATCATCGTTGCACGTCCACCCTACCATGCATCACCATTTCGACCGATACCAGTGTTCCACCCAGTGGTCCATAGAGGTGGTAGCAGCAGCAGCAGCAGCAGTAGTCACAGTCATAGCGGTAGTCACAGTCACAGCGGTAGTCACAGCGGCAGTCACAGCAAACACAAGCACAGACATTCTCATCACAGCAGTAGCAAAAGTGGAGGAAGTAGAAGTAGCAAAAGTGGAGGAAGTAAAAGTAGCAGAAGTGCAGGAAGTAGAAGTAGCAGAAGTGCAGAGATCACTGAGGAGTTATACCACTAAAGGTGATTTTTTTTTTTTTTTTTTTTTTTTTTTATGACGCATAAAGGAAATATTTTATTTCCCTCGCCAAATATTATATATATATATTTAATATACTGCTAAGCATAATGCTCGGTAAGGTATTTTGTCCATTTCGGTCTAATCAGTGGTAATTCGGGTCCAATCTATATATACATAAAGTTCAAGTCTGAATCGTTTCGAGTAGATTACAATGAAAAGGGGATATTATGAACGAAACCTTTATAACGTTTCATATTTACAATATAAGGTTACGAAAGATAATTCATGCTTAAACTAGTATTTCATAATACATGTAACCCTGTAAATTACAGCTACAAGGCCACGGGGACTAAAGCTAGTGTAAAACAGTACATGATGTTTAATGTTTTACAAAGGGCTATGCATATTTACATCAAATTGAACGTACGATTGTATTTGTCGTTAATATATCAAACATTTACTGGTTTTCAAGTTTTAATCAGTGAAATATAAGGCCTTTTTATCTACTATATATATTACTATATTTTGTAGAAATACTTTTATTCGTGTGTTGTAAAGTGCCTTAGAGTAATTTGACACATTATATAGGGCGCTATAGAAATGTTGTATATTAGCTTTATCATCTTATAATGAAAATCGAGTTGATAATTTGTCTACAGCGATAACTGGCTCTCACTGTGATTTACATACTAAAATGACCAACCGGTAACGAGCACTGTTAAGTATGAAAACAACAATAGGCATTGTCACTTGGGACTTGCCGTTCCGTTTCCCTCCTGTAACATTGCTATACAGTATTCTCTGTCGGAATATTTTTAGGAGGAAATTGAATAATCTGTTCACGGTCGTCAATATTGTTGTTGAAAAAACCGCAATGAACAGAATGCCATTGGTGTCTTCACTTGTAGGTTGAATATCTTTAATATCAACAGAACAGTTTTAAAATAATAAAAAAATAAAGAATACCCTATCCCCAATTCCTGATTATGAAACAGCCTATCATTTGTATAAAAATCGCTAGCATTGCACCGCGTAATAATACATGTTGATCATCAACAGTTCTCATCAAGAAAACATGTTTTTTAATATCAATAAATGATTGATTTAATGCATTGCAAGTTCGGAATAAATATATCTTACGTTGATTAAAATGTAGAAAAAACAAAACACGCTTAATGGTTCTTTTCTGATTTAGGTGAAGATAAAGACACAATAGCATACGCTTATGAAATACGATTTACTTCGAAGTGCAATGTAGTTTTGGTTGTTAAACTTTACGTTATTTTTTTCAGGTACAATGCAACATGTCCCATCTTTGAGTGATGTCACGATTTCAGCTATGTTCGTTGTTACAAGGTTATCTATATGATAATAGCACAACTGTATTAAAATAAAAGATCATATCTTTGTATTGTTGTTTCGTATTGTCTATTACATATATTAAGTATCCTGATAAGCTGACAGATAAAATAATCTATTTTACGAAAGACAGGTTCATCATGGCGTATGGATACATTCTCTCGCCCTTCGTACAAAAACAACAAAACTTTCGTTTACACATGATGCATTCGGCATACATACATATATACTGAGGAGACATCAAATGCAAAAGGTAAGACATGAACTTTTGTTCTTCGTTAAAAATTGCTCATGTACCTCCAATTGTAAGAGAACACCTGTATTAAGAGAACACTTTTAAACAAACATAACGCAAAACATCTCCAGCACACACGCAGACATGCACACACAGAGAGATATTAGCCAGGTGGCATAGGACTAGTAGTTAGCGCCTGATAAGGCAGCTCCTGAAAAATGTATATCCTAATTGTATTAATTGTATATCTATTTATTGTAAAGCGCGTTTGAGTGGCTTATGTTAGCTAGATAGGACGCTATATCAAATGTTGTATATTATTATTATTATAAATATATATAATGTCCAATTTAAAATTTACTTGAAAAGGCCGTTGGCAATTGCCGCTCTTAATATGTTCAAGTATTAAAAGATATACGTACTTGATGGAACTAACTTAAAACTCCCATAAATACTAACGCTTAGTTATACGAACTAAGAAAGGACATGTTCAAATTAAGTAAATCGATGCAGAAAGCTGAACAGAGTAAACTCTTTCCATGTGGCCATTTACGTCTCATTGATGGTACTATATGTAAAAAAAAAAGTATTCCAAAATATATCTAGGAATACAGCAACAGATGTCTATGCAATCCTATGCAGTGATTTGTTCTAAAAGGAGTACTTCATGAAACCCGTGTCAGAATAATTTCAAGCTACAGGTTATCTACCATCCTCAGAGACGGATACTCAACCAACATAGTGAACTACTGATGTGACATAAAATAATCGCCAGAAATAATGTGCGATTTTACCATCATTCGTCCCGTTGTGCGCTTCTTTCCGCACAAACAATTTAACCCAATCGCACGTTTGATAAATATTACGGAATGAAAACAATGCGGTAGGCCCGTATGACATAAGGATATTTTTTTTTTTTTTGTGTGTTTTACGTCCTATTAACAGATATGATCATTTAAGGGAGTGTCAGGTTTTGGTGGTGGAGGAAAGCCGGAGTTCCCGGAGAAAGAAATACCGATCTACGGCCAGTACATGGCGACTGTCCCACGTAGGACTCGAACCCGCGACCCAGTGGTGGAGGGCTAGTGGTAGCAGAATGTCAGACGCCTTAACCACTTGGCCTCCACGGCTCATGACATAAGTAACAATGTATATAAATTTCTCATATTAATTAAGATTATGTTGAATTATACAATGCGTGTTACACAATATTACAGTGACTGTTAGACTGTCAAGAATTGGTTTGGCGCCCAGGTAACAGAACAGGTACATAACATTTTGATGAGTGACCGGAGTTTTACCTGGCTCCCTGTGCCTGACATAGAAAGCCGATGTATGATACCGTATGACTGTTTTAAAAACACAACTGGACGTTAAGTATTTGTTATTTGCTTTCGTGTTGACTGTATCTCCCCCTCACCTGGATTTTCACACCTTGTCGAGTTATGTAAGTGCCCCGGTTGGGGAACACTTCTGTACGGTTTAAGTACATGCACAAAGTGGTTATGTTTACCTGTATCTCGAACCGTGTACATATGTATTCTAATTTTATATAATTGTTTTACTAGAATATAGAAAAATACTTAAACAGTCAAGTTTATATGTTTGAACACGAAGCCGTATATATAGTTAAGCCATTTCTCCATTTACACCAACCAAGGTTTTTATCGCACAACGTTCGTCCATCGTCCGCACAAATTTGCGCAAGCAATAACTGTCCAGGTTTTTATCGTTTGCACATCATGCTCACATCGCGCAAACGCCATGCGCACCTCGCACGCACACCGCACATCGTGTAACGTTGTGCGATCCACTGTAATATAAATGTGTTCTTGCTCATTGTGTGAATGACATACACTGACTAATTAGTACGTTGGCACCTAAAATGTCCCCTCTCTCATTAGTGGACACATATAACGTTACCTGATCTAAATAAGTAGATATGTTGGTGGTTTACGTACTCCCAACACCTTCTATCATAGAAGGACAACGCCCACTGAATGTACGACTGAAGGGGAAGTGCTTTGGAAAACAGTTACCCGGTTTATCTGATTGGCTCTTTCCTTTTGCTCCCATGAGTTTACACCCTTATACAACTGCAGACTAAATTAATGATGTGTTAGAAGTGGATGTAATTCCCGTTGCATTTGACCCTTTCATTTTGGCCTTTTTAAAGAATTTCTTTACGGAAACTGATGCGTATAGGACTTATATATATATATATATATTATTAAGTTCATTGAAATAGTCTATCAATATGAACTCTGCACTATCAGGATGTCTTAATAACATAGAAATACTCATTACATGACTAGTAAGTATCCTGCAATCTGATAAGGCTGAGACATGCTTGCATGACTTGTTAAAACTCATACCAAACTTGGGACACATGGACACATGCCATAGCTTGCAATAAGAGTCTTTCAGCATGAATACGTACCAGAAACACACAACATGGCATTTCCTTTTGATTTCAAATTCCCTATCTTCAGGTTGGATAGTGTCATAAATCTCAACCTCTTCATCAAACAGCAACGTTCATATGGCCCAATCATCTGGAACAGAGTATTTCGTATTGAGCGTCTTCAATAAATAAAACATTTTTAAATATTCGATGTCGATACAAAGACTTATCAAACTATGGGAGATTCCATTTCCTGGTTTTTGAGACAGAGGGGGGAATAGAATCTTCCTCAAGTTAACAAAATCATTGTTTTCACCTCTTTGGATATTAATAGTTATATTTTGTTACAAATTCCATAATGGTTTAAAGAAAAGTAGCTATAGACACGAATTAATATGGAAATGATAAGGAAGACAGCTTTGACCCTCATCATCAGCCATGAGGAAAACACCCGTTGTTATTGTCTGGTGCTACAGATATAGGTCATTTATGCATGAAATACAAGTGGACAGTTTGTAAGTTGTTACGTTTGCAGGACCATTCTTTGATAAAATCTTTGTTTAACCATGTGGGAAAAATATCGTTATAACATGGAAAAACTTTTAACGAAACAGTCTGAACGCCATTCAAATCGTATGCAAGTTTAGGAAGGAAGACATTGTAAAAGACAAATAAATCAACTGGTAACATTTAACGCTAACCGTTCCGGATAAACTACAACAATCAAGATTAACAGAGATGGTGTGTAAACGATTGGTCATTCTCTAGCTGGTTCTTGTTCATTTGTGATATCACAATAATATATATTGGTCAATTGGTACCACATTATGGCAGTAAACTATACGGCATGCTGTTGCAAACCAATGTCATTAGTTGACGCGTACATCATGAAGTGGGTAACAGCAGGTTTATTCTGTCCTCAATCCCCGACCATATCAAATACTTAACCAAAATATCCTTCTTAATACTTGCAAATTGAAGTTGTAAGAAGAAATACTGTCAGGAAGGAAATCTAACACGGAACATTTTTACATACCTTTACATTCAGTAGAAAGCTTACAGTTATTGTGTGTATATATTACTATATATAGGATTATATTTGTACATGATAAACACAATCACCTAGCACAGCTATTTGTGTTTGTATGGGATTATACTTGTGCAACCCGACAATATCAATGCAAATTCAATCCTTTGATGTATTGATCAGATTATGATAAGCTATGGAAGTTTATTTCAGTAGATCACACAAAGCTTCACACAATGCGATAAAGGTGGAGTTTGGCATATGTTTATGGCTTAAAATAGTCGCACACATAGTGTTTAAAATGTTCCAGGTGGACGTAGTACATTTTGCATCATGAAAAACATGAACTTAGAAAATATTCTAAACCATGTTTAGAATTTTCAGTTATTGTCCGTAAGTTAAGATGAAAATTTCCAGATAAAAAGTGTTCGTTGTTACATCTCACAATATTTTTTTTATAATATCTAGAGGTCCGATATGTCTGCCTGGTAAATAGCATAACTCACGTCGCCTACCAATAAACCAGACGTTGATAATATAGACGGATAACAATCCAAATGTAAACTTTGATTTCCTACTAGAGATCGCTATGTAATTATTATTTTTTGCTTTTGATTTCCACAATTGATAAACAAGGCAATGAACAAATAAATAATGGTCTTGGGATTTCTTGATGTGGCAAGGGGAGCACATTTAGCTGTACTTTTGTCTAAGACATCCATTTGGTATCAAGGCAACATCTGTTGCAGACTCTGCCATTACAAGTAGAAAATTGGTTAATTGCAGGGTGTGCCCAGAGATATAGGAGTTGAAAAGGGGTTGAAAAGAAAAAATAACAGGTCACACGTATGACATGCACAAACAAAGAGAAATATAACCCATATGCAGACAACAGTGCCAACCGTCACACGCCGCCTCATTCGATCTGCACTGGAATTAAACTGTTGGTTATAATTTTTTCAGACTTGCTTGAAACACATATAAGCTCTTTCAAACTATTAATAATGACTTTTAACATTATGACCGACATAATATTCTAAATTTGACACTATGCATGTGTTAATCGTCCTTTCGCCCTCATTTTTATGGAAGTTCCGCATTTCGTTCCGTTTCCTATGAAGCCTCCTTGGTCCCGTTATTTCTTCGTAGGTGGTTTTTGGTTGCTATTTTGTAACCGAGGATATATCATTCGGCGTTATTATTTTAAAAGTTCCTGATATCTTTCCTCTTGCTTGGCTCCGTTATCTCTTCGTTCGAATTTGGGTTACTGTTTTATGAGCTGTATTGAGCGAGGTGGCAAGATTTTTAGGATGAGTCTTTCGGGAAAAACTGTACCCTCTCTTGGGCGACCGGTTAATGGTTTTCTTTGAG